GGGGTTGTTCTGGGGGGGGGGGGGGGGGGGAAGTGATTGGGACAAGGGGGAGTGTTTCATCTTTGCTGTAGGAGAACAAACTGAATCACACACTTTAGACACATGAAGGTTCTTGTACTCCTAGATTTTGGGGGCTGGGGATGGAGGAAAGAACAAAAGCCTAACTTTTGAAACATAATTTTTTGCAAAAAGGAAAAAATATTTCCTGTTGTCAACTGCTTTTAAAGAAAATTGTGAGCCACAGCTCCCAATTTTTTTTATTTTCAGCAATTTCTTAAGAAAGGGAGGAAGAGAATCTGTTTTGTATTAGTTTTTATTTTGGAAGGGACCTAGAAAAGTTAAATGACCTGCTGAGAACAAAGACACTGTAGTATGCAGAAATAGTTCTCACATTTTGCAGTCATCATAACCAGATCGGCAGATACTTATTATTTTTATATAAAACAGAAACAGTTTTGATCTGTTTCATTTCTGGTTTCTGTTTATTTGCTGGATTATTTTTCCTAATTATTTTAAAGAGCCTAATTTTACTGTCACTCTGGGTTTCTTGCAAGGCTTCTTCTGGGCCAATCAAAACTTGTTTTAATTTTTTTCTGGGAAAAATGAAAGTCCCTAGGCCTGGAAGAGGTCACAGGAGGCCAGGAGACTTGCTATAAGCCTACATTTATTTCAAAGCGTTACTGAGGACTACCCAATATTTACTTGCTCTTTACATGTTAATACCACGTACTCCTTCTAGGAAGAAGGGGAGGAAGCACCCCTACTAGCAGTAAATTAACTGCAGCAACATTCTGAAAGCTGATACCACAGCAATAGGAACAGCCTAAGAATTGGTATAGAAGACAATATACAGCCTGAACTTCCCAGAGAACGACTTGGACCTAAACACTTTTAGGAAAAATTTCTCTACTGCTTAAGTCAGGGGTTCAAAATCTTTTTTTACTCGTGTATGACATCCAGCATGCGTTGCAGGTACCATCTGTGCCAAGGCTAATCTCTGCCCCGTGTCCAGGCTGTGGCTTACGTACCAATAGTGGTACGCAGTGCTGCTACCGTCTGAGTGTCTGCAGCCTAGACTTCTTATTACCATTATTTATGGACTCTTAATCACAATGCCTATCTCAGGCCCTAAGTAGGTAGAATGATAATGTATTTTATACTCCTTCAGTTGTGCTATCAGGATTTCCAATGAGTATTCTCAGTCGTCCAGAAAAGGACCTGGTACTCATTGTTGCTGCATGTCTGTGCCTTTTCTATGAAGGAGAAAAAATGATTTGTCACAGTACTTTGAGACTGGTTTTTCTGGATTGTACACACACACACACACACAAAGAAGAATTTTGAAAATGAGCCCAAATCCGCATGATTGTACAAACAACCCTCCATCAATGCATTCACGTAAAATGTATCACACAAACTTCAAATACACTTCTCGTCAAGCCACCAGTTACATGCCAACTTTCTCTTTCTTAATTTTTCAGGACACAGTCAGATTTCCTCCAGAAGCCCTGCTGATGTGCCGTGTCTGGCTATGCTTCCCCTCTCTTTCCATCTCCTGGTCACACTGGCGGTTTGGCACTTGTAACTGGGGAAGCCAACCTTCTCTTTGGGAAGTTCTCCTCACCAGAAGACCTCACTGGGCGGAACAGCTCTGTAGGGTTAGCATGACAACTGTTCTAGAGCCACATGAAAGAAACACCACTAGCTGAAAACAGACCTAGCACTATGTGTTTCTGTCCCACATTTTGGTGTTCCACAAAACCAAAGGCAGCAAAACTCAGAGGTGGAAAGTCTGCTTTTCCGTTTGTTTCTTGGAGCGCAGTTTTAGTGCTGCCGGTATGAACGTTTTATTTTGGATTTTGTGGGTTTGCTTTAATAATAGGATAGAAGACTCACAAAACAACAAGGTCACGTTATAAATTACCCTAGTGAGATCTTTTGCCCAAGATCTCATCTGCTGTCCAAGAGAACTGAAAGGAGGAAAAAGGGCAATTACCCTCTGTGTCAGATAAAAACTGGAAGTAGGGAGACGCTCGCGTTTTGTGAAACATAAGAAAGGAAACCTTGTGAAACTTGAGCCTGTGGAACTTTAGCTTCTATTTTTAGTCTTAAGCGTCACAGGCTATCAGTAGCAACTTTTTTTCCACAAGAAATGTAGTATTTCTTCAGCGGAAGGGTAAAGCTGACCGAGAAAGATGATGGAAAGTTCATAAAACATCAACATGGAGGAAGGAAGTGATGTATTATTACAAAAATCCACTAAAATCCACTTCTAAATAAGCCAAAAGCTTTAGAAGGCTGAATTCAGTATTTTCTCTTTTTGTCATGAAACACAGCAAGGTAAATGTGATCATCCCGCAAAAGCTGGATTCTTAAGCTAGAACTGTGTGATAAGAAAATATTACTGTGACAATGTTACTTCTTTAAAAACGGTACCTTTGGAGGAAAAAAGAATTAAAAACTGGTCAGAATAATTGTAACTGATACCTATGGAAATTAAATGGGTTTTGTTCTGGAAATGTTCGATTCAGGTAGCATAGATGTCCTGTGTAAAACAAAATTGAAAGGATCCTGTATATCAACAATATCAAGAAAGTGCAGAAGTTTTGTTTCAGGCCAGAGCTGCTGCAACCGCCCTATTACAGAACTGAGAAGCATCCAGAGAACTACTCACCCAGGCTGGTGAACAGCAGTGACTGCAGCCCACTCCTCCGGCTGTGCCCTCAAGCAGAGGGAAGTGACTCATAAGGACACTCATAAAGTCATTTTGATTTGGAACAGTTCCACTCTCTTTCCAACGGAAAGACAGGATTGTTTTTGCAAAGAAGGGAACAGAATAAAATAGAACTTAAAATGGTATCCATTGAGGTAAAGGAGACAATTACCTTTGACTTTCTTAACAAAGGGCCCTTTCCCCATGGCGGGGAAGAGAGACAAAATCCCACGCAGAGCCTCTGCTGCTGCGGCAGTGGAGCTCAGTTGGTACTTAGGCTACCCTGGGTACAGAGCAGCTTAGCGTAACAGCTGGAGTCCCACTTCACAAAATATTTGAATATAAGAATTGTACATACTGTGATTGTCTTTTTGCGTCCTACCCTCCAAATGTTTGTCTCAGATTTCATGTATTTTTCAAAACATAAGTTGATTAAAAATAAAAAACACCCAAACCCTCATGAGAGCAATTGCTTGGTATCTAAGAGTTCTTTATTTGTATTCCAGTTGTTCCTACAGTTAGCTAGGCTCCCTGTGCAATCAGAAAGTCCAAAAGGTAGAACTTGTACAGGTCTGTCAGTCCCAAAATTCTGAACTGCTTGCTCTCATCTCAAGGACTGTATGACTTCTAAAAATCTAATAGCCACTTAAGCAGCTCTCCACTTTTCAAATGGTGTTGAGGCACATGCACGACATGAGCACCTCCACTCACAAGTGCAAGCTGTATGACTACACAGCTGCAAAAATTGCTTGGGCAAGCAAATGAATAATTAAGTACCTTTATGCCGGCATACAGGGCTAGAACAGAGCCTCACTGCTGTGAAAAGGGACAGCCCAGCTGTACATTTAAGAGCGGGCACCATGCTGGCTGGTGCCTACGAGGAATGCCCAATTCCCTCAGTTGTCTGCCTCTTTCACCCTCCGACGCGATTCTCCCTGCCTGTGCAAACTGGCATGAATCACAGTAAGCACATGAGGAGACGAAGGTAGGAGGAATGAAGGGTGGGGGGAAGAAGACTGGATGACCTCTAAAAGTTGCTTACAACCCTACTTTTTTATGACTCAGATTTGCAGCAGCTCTTGGGATGTTTAAATGTCCCTGTTTATTATATTTTCCCAGAGCTGTAGTTAATGCCATTCCCAGTAGTAATATACGACCGCCATTCTGTTTTCCTGGGAGACTGCAACGGAAGGTTTGAATGACTAGCAGACCTTGATTTGTCCTTCCTTGCCTGGGTGATGACACAGTCAGCATATATCTTGAAGTTCACTCAATGTGCAGAACACGAGCAGCACATACTTGTTGTGTTTTCCAGAGTTTCATCACAAACGAGAGGGATAGCTTTGAAAACTAAGGAGCACAATAACAACTGACACATTTAAGGAGGAATCTCCACTTCTCTCACTTGTAGTACCTTGGTGGCCCACACCTATGTATTTCATATGGCAAAAGCATAGGCTGATAATCTGCTACATTAAAGAAATTCTTAAGAGATCCTTGTACCTTATTCTTGCAAAAGAATGGCTGTAAAAGTGAGTTCATTTTTTCAAGTTTGACAGTGACACTGCTAAGAGACAAAAAGGAGTTAGTTTGCTCATCTTGTAGTTTATCTAAGTTTATAGTCAGGCCAGTTCAACTGGTTAATGCTTTCCACTGAGCTCCTTTCAGTTCCATACAGTGTGGGAGAAATGGCCCATATAGATCATCAGCAAGAAATGTATTTAATACATTTTATGTAGAATTTTCACTGTTATTTCAGCTAAGCCTGAGGGCAGTCATTCACATAGCATGACACCCATCATTTGAACAAGGGGTACTGAAAAATACTGAAAATAAGCATGGCAGGTGATTGTTTTTAAATATGCAGCACGAAATCATGTTGCTATGGGTAATTCAATCCTTGTTGCAACTTCTGTTTCAACTTCTGGGATTGTCCAAGTTTAGTCTCTTCTCTTCCCCTCTCTATCTCTTTCTGCAGAGATTCTGACCACCGCTGAAATCACCTTGGAAAAGATAACCAAAGATCAGTTCCTTAATTCTTCTGACGGCTAAGGCTGACCCCTCAGCCACTGCAAGCCACAGGAAGGAGGAAGAAAACCAGCTCAAACAAAAGACTCAAGCCTGGGAATGCAGGCAACTCCCAATTATTTGCACATGGAGGATTATCCAAGCTCCCACTCTGAAAAAATAAAAAAAAATTTACATATACACACGCATATAAGATATTGCTAGCTTGCAAACACACAGACCCTTCAAGAAACAGTGTGTTTTCTTCCAGGAATATTTCTTGGCCTGATAAAAGTCTCTCCCTATAAACCTTGGTTTTAGGTCACCTTGACTATTAATAGCATTATTATTATTTTAAAAAACAAAACAAAACAAAACAAAGGAAAAACGAAAAAAAAACCACCACCACCAAACTCCCACTGTGTACTTTTACGACTTTATACTCCACTTTTCCTCATTTTTCAGTGATAATTATATCACAGGAAGGCTTTAGAGCTTAATGTAAGTATATTTGATATTATACCTTCAGGGCAATAAGTAAGAAGTCACTGTGTTGAAGAAATGAGCAGGACAAAGGCATTCATTATGATGGAACTGGATTTCCTGTTTACTTTTGTTAAACAAGTAGGAAGCAATATTTGTTTGATTCCCTCTATGCATCCAAAATGTCAACACAAAAATGTCATACAGAAAACAACAGCTGGAATATTGTGCCTGGGTAAGTGAAAACCTGCACAGAACATTGTTCACAAAGTGCCCCCTGCTGACACTTGACTCACCCAAAATGTGTCTCTATTGTCACCAGAACCCGAAGGGTAAAAACGAAAAGTGCATCTCAATCCCTAACTTTCAGTTCTGCTTTTAGAAGAAAAAAGCATAGTTGTCAAATTTTTGAACACTGCAACAATCCACAGGGAAACATTTCGTAAAATGGTTTTTGTGTGTAAGCATCAATGAGGGCAAAGGGCAGAAACACAACTGAGGGGTAACAACTCCTCCCCACACCCCACAAGTTAACCCCGTCACATCTAGAAAACCAACGCAAGCAGAAGGGGCATTTATCACCGCTCCCTTTCAGTAGGGCAAAGTTCTTAAATGTTTTCTGAAGATGAAAAATAGCAGGATCCATAAGCCAGATATTGCATGCCTCCTTGTGGAGGCTTGAAGAATACACATTCTTTCACTCCTTATTTCTGATGGCGTTTAACAAAACGAATAAATCATAAACTTCTGTCCACTTGGCTGAAAATAGCAAACCCCTCAGCAGCTCCAAACAGCCCAACGGAAGGAAAGGAAAAACCCAGCTTGGCAGACAGATGTCTCTATCAATCTATAAACGCACATGGAATTTCCCTCCAAATTTACACTGGCTGAAAGCCAGGATGACAATCTTACGTCTTCCACCAAAGTTAAAAGATCTTCCATTAATAAAAAAAAATATTTTAAAATGTGTGTAGCAAAGGTTTGTACTCAGCACATTACTGTGAAATTAGAGAGAATTAAAAAAATGAGAGGCAATCCTGGTGCATTATTCTTTCTCCCTTGAAAAATCTTATCTCTGAATGACAGAAAAAAAGGGTAAAAAGATGCTCTAAAATGTGATTATTTCTGAAAATAAAATTTTGTCTTTCATTTCCCTGGTGTGTATCTGTTTGTCGCATCCCCACTAAATGCCCAAGCTTCCAGCACTGACAACACTGTATGGATAGCTCACTTTTCGTAACTATCTTGAAAAAAGTTTCAGGCACTGAGGAGGAGCTGCTTCCTCAGTTACTCTTGCTACGACTCACAGTCCTAGCCCTCAAACAGTCACTGATATTGAGACCATCATTTTAGAGTACTGCTGTTATTTAGCAGATGAGATGTCATGTCAAATTAGGTGAGCTTTTCAGTTTGTATACTTGATTCTAAGCAGGTGCTACTGTGATAATCCAACCTGGAAGCCACCAGGTCAGGGATCCACATGACCGCCACTGCATCTGCTTAGAAAGGTACACAGTAGATTATTAGTAGTCTTCATTATTGGGGTATCTGGATTCAAGAATATCAGAGGACTGTAAAAAGAGGCAACATCTGGATGATCTACCAACCAACTCACAACAGCTGGTCACTGCATGATAATAGCAATTTCTTCAAAAAATAATCTTTTTCCTCGGGACACCTGAATCTTAAGATTTGGAATCTAAGAAAGTTTTATGCCACCACAGCTGCACTTACTAGGAGCTGCAGATATGATAAAACCTAAATAGATATTCACAACCTGCTGTGGTGAGAGGAGCTAATGGAAAGAGTTAACGCAGTCCCTGAGGGGAAGGGCTGAGCTCAACTTTGACGACTCTTATAGCAGAGGAAGGTACCATTAACACAGGCAGCAGCTGTTCTCCCTCTGCTCCAGGGATTTCAGTACCATCTCTGTTTTGTGCTACTTTCTTATGTTACCAAATTTCTTTTAAAACTCCTGCAGATGTAGGAAAGTCACTACATTTTATATGAATAATGACCTCCCGTACCCTGTGTATAAAATTGGTATTAAAAACATCCACTTACGTACAAGCAAAGCTTATGGAGGAAAGGCTTTATTTGCACAGAATTACACAGTGACAGTATTTTAAATTCGCTTTCTTACCAACTTGATACTGAAAATTTCCTAAAGAATTTGATGCACAAGCAAAAAAGTTTCAGAATATGCCCAAAATCCACTTTATGAACCTGCTACCACGATGACTTGGTTTCTGTGTATGATTTCTTTGTACCCACGCTGGAGTTTGTGATCTACACAAGAGATCTCTATGAAATCCTCCAAGAAAACAGTGCCATCTTTGAAGTACAAATTCAGACCTTCTAAATCCTAATGTGATTTTTAGTGACAAAAAAATAAATCACATACTAAGAGGCTCCAGAAGCAAAACACTTATTCCGTGAACCCTGAGCAAGATGAGCATGCCCACCACTCATATTCAAGCTTCATTCCTCCTCTTTGCTTCCCGCAATAAAAAAAATTTAATTCCACATCCCTCGCAAGACTTCAGCCACAGATAGTATTTACCATACTCCAACCCGATCTAAGGCTTGTAGATTTCATTTACAAAACACACAATTCTCCCTTAAAAATACAGGTTCCCTTCAGCATGTCTGCCATGTGAAAGGAACTTTAATACAAGGTAATGTGTGAGGGATGTAATTTTGATTGTTTCAATTTGAGAAATGTTTCTTCATGATGAATAGAAAGGTGACAAATAACTTGGAAGGGGGGAAGGAGACTCTGCTGGATTCTATACAGAAAAAATGTCTCAGCCCTGAAGAGAACTGAAAAGCAGAAAAACTGCTAGAATGTATCAACCAGTGTAAGTTATCAGAGGCAGCTGCCAAACAAAAGTGAAGGGACAAGGATGAGATAAAGGCAGAAATTAATTTATTTATACATCATTATTCCAGACATTCAATAATATTTCTTTAGAGAAAGCTTTATTACCATAAAGCAGGGAAAGTAAGGATAATTTGAGATTGTTTTTTCCATCCACTGCTCATCATGCAACTACTTTAACATAGATATTATCCTTAAAAATTGTGCGTCACATCAGCGGATATTTTCTCCTTCATTTCAAGACCTTTTTAGCCATAATGGGCCAATGGATGAATTTTTCAAAGTGCTAGTGTCGTGACAGTTAAGATGTATCCTGCTGCTGACTGATACTCAGAATGGCTCTTTTGTGAAAACAGGATTCTTTGAAGTGGAAAAACAAAACATTAATCTTTTAATTAATCACAAGCTAAATTAAGATATGGAAGATGCCTATTCCCTTGACAGCTGATCCTGGCTTTTAGTTCACAGATACAGGCCTGAACACATAAACCTTGAACCACGCACAAATTCTTCTCTATTCCCATTCTTCGTCCACTAGATATACTGCCACTGCATCTGCTATATCCCTACAACACATCTGCCCTCAGCTTCTGAAGGGGCCTTTAGTCTCTTTTTGCCCCTATGGAAATGGTTTGACACTGGTGCACTGGGAAGACTGGTTTCAGAATAAGTCTGCACAGCTCTGCAGCTGAAAAAGCTCAAGAAAATGCTCTTGTGTCTCAGGCCAGGCTGCTTGTACTCCATTAGCCCTTCTGCAGGCCCCTCTCTCAGAGAGGGCATGGAAAACCCTGCAGCTGGGAATCAATTGGCATCATGTCAGCATTCACTAGAGTGTGAACAGGACAAGCAGGTGAAAATGTTTCCATTGGTCCATATTGTATTTGATACTATGCCCTAAATTTAAACATTTCTGATTTTTTTATTTGCCAGTTAACTTTAGCACGTTCTTTACCATGGCCCCAATGCCATCAAAGATATTATGTAATTCTGTTTCACACATAAATGCTGGGGTAGTCACCACCTTGTTCTTTGTATCCACATGAGCTTCGTAAAAGGGAGTTAAGGAAAACACAGCCTATATCTCACTTGCAGATGCTGTCTGCAAAATAAACCATCATTGACAAAACCTCACAACTCCACTATCCTACAAAAAAGCACCTCCAAATATATTATACCATCCAGCTGTAAAGACAGCTGCAATGTATAATCCAAGATACTAGAAGCTATTTTTGCCAGAAATACAAACACTGCAAGAGCAATCTGTGGGAATGCTCAGAAACACAAGAAAGCCTACAAAATTTACTGACTGTCAAAAAATGTCTCTGAGTACAGTTTGATTACAGCATTAGCCTTCAGGAAAAGAAAAAAAATCTCAGAGAGAACTGACCAATTGTAACTCATGCCAGTTTTATGTGCAAATTCACTCAGCATTTACTGCATTACTGGGTGTCCAAGGGAGTTCTATGGCAATGACTGAAAACAACTTCTAACTATACAGCTGTGTACAGAAGACAATGTTTCTAATCATGCACCGTATTACATGCTACCCGCTATATACTGTATATTCCCACTAAACCGTAAGTGGAAAAGCATAGATCCTGCATGTATTCATTACTGTAACAACACATTACTAAACTGTCTCTCAACACGGAAATTAACAGGAAAGGATATAGTTACTTCTTTCACACAATGCTTTCCTCCCAGTTCTTTAATGGCTCCTGCAGTCCCAGCATAAGGCCACTTGCCACCTTCTTCTTCTTCATGGCCCACAGTTACTTCTGCACCAGAGAGAACCTTTGCTGCCAACACTGGTGAAATGCAGCAAAGACTGCAACAAAAGGAATTACAAGAGCGATTCTACAACAGCACACTTTCAAAACTTGGTCGCAATTGAAAGGATTCAAACGGACATGGTCTTACAAATCTGAAAGACATCACATGGCAACTTCCACTCAGCACTTGCTTAGCTGCTTCTTTGACAAACACCTACACACACACACATCTTGAAAAATGCATTTAAAAAAGTAAGTTACAACTGATAAAAAACCGAAGATGCTTTTTCTAGTTCCAACAATAACAGCTGCACATTTCAACAAAACATATGTTGCCTCTGTGCTCGCACTGTCAAACAAATGCCCCTCCAACTAACATACGTACCCAATAGGTTTGCCTGCTTTGTGGAAGTCTTTCAAGACACGTTCAACTTCTCTGTTCACCTTGCAATCTTTCCCATCAACAGCAAAGGTAGATCTGCCACAACAAGAAACTTTATACATACTTCAGAATAAACCTACAAATAGAGATGCCTATCTGCCCTCAGACTGGCTCTCAAGGGTCATTACAAAGTTAATAGCTTCTAAAAGGTGGTTGAAAAAGCCTGTAGTTGACCACCAATGCTTTAGCCAAAATGACTCACTTCTAAGGCTTTGGTATGTCAGAAAGTTCCTTGCTTGATATAAACATCTAGAAATAAGAATTATCAAATGACCTTTCTAGGATTACTGAGAAGTAGAACAACATTTTCAGAGAAGAAGTATACGTAAGAAGAAAAGGGAAATAACATTCAGGTTTCTCAAAGCCACCAAAATGGCAGGTCAATAACAAGATCATCAGTATTCCACATGGCTAAGACTTTTTTTTTTTTTTGAGCTAGCTGTTGTTTTATCGTTACTAATGCAAGAGGGGACTTTTTGGTAGGCGGACATGAAGAAACAGAATAATAACACTAGTTACACCTGAAACTATTGAAGTTTTACCTTCACTTCCCTCAGTCGGGCCCAAAAAGAATCACCACAAGGGTGGGGGAAAAAGGACTTCTCGTGCATTATCTAAACTCCAGAATTCTCACCAACATTGTTCGGAAAATTTAAAACGTGATAATGCCAATAAGAATTACGACTGGAAACCATCATGAACAGGACAACTTAACTCCAACACTTTGAAAGGAGTTTTCCTTGTTAAGTAGTGGTTACATATGTAGTAAATAAGGCCATTTGTTGCTTCCTCATTTTATTGTGTGAATCATAGTTGATTACGAATAGTTGATCATGAATATTTAGTTGAGGAGTCGAATGCTTAGTTGGCACTCACAAGTTTTTAGCAGCTCCAAATCCACCAGGGAATATCACAGCATCATGGTCTGCTGTAGTGAGCTTAGCCAGGCTTGCAATTTTACCACGAGCAATCCTTGCAGATTCCACTAAAACGTTCCTTGAAGAACCAGAAATAAAACAATGAAATGAATTAAGTATTTGTGCACAGAAGAGCATAAAGAAAGTTTTGGCAGAGGAAGAGAAGGGGGAGGAAGGGAGGACGCAAGAAGAACAGTGGTACTCAATAACTGAAGCTATCGATGCTTCTGAAATACTACTACTGGAAAACACAGGCATTAAGAGACTGTGTACCATCAAGTCCAGAAAACTCGTTTAGTATTTTCCTTTCAATCAAAATACCAGCTAGCATAAAGCTACTAAAGCCAGTCAGCAAAGCGTTACAAGTGCAGTTAGAGGCTGCTGTGTCTGAAGAATGCCTAAAAGACTGAGGCTCAGCAGTCATGGAAAATATATTAAACACAGACTTTACCTTGACTCAGCTTCAGCTGGTTGCCCTTTACTGTGGTCAATGACATGCATCTGTGGAACATCTGGAGCATACATCTGAACCTCAGCTCCCCCACGACTAAGGTGTACCAGTATGCTACAAAAATGGAGATAAAACGTGCTGAAAACCTATTAAGAGAGGCTTTACCTGGCACCTAAATCTTGCTACAAATATTCCACCACCTGATTTTGAAAGAGGAAAAACACACATCCTACCAAAGCATACTGAGCATGTAGCAGCAATATCTCTGCAAGTAGCACCAAAGTGCAAAGCAGAACAGAAAGTCAGTTTGGAGGCAGGGTCAGGTAAGCTAGAAACAACAATCTTGTTCACTGCTCTTATGCAGGCAACCAGGAACAATTAAAACTTTCTCACTGCAAGTCCCCAGGTGTTATTGAAGAGTCCCATGATTAACAAACCTACGTGTACATTTAATCTAGATCTAGGTGAAACATCTCTTAGCAATTAACACTAAGAGTTAATAATTCAACTTGAGTATTAACAATTCTAGTGTTAGATTTAGCTCCAGGAACAGAAACTCAAAGTGATTATGAAATGAAGTCTTTACTTAACTCTCTTGAGATTGATTCTGGAACTCTGAATTTCTGTTTCTGAAGAAGGACAGTCTCTCTCAAACTCACTGCTCTGGCATCATGTGCACTGTGCTGCATCTTTGGACAATCACTGAGTACTGCAAGAACACAGCCTGAGGTCCCCATTATGGTATAAGAAAACTGTGAAGCTTCATCATACATCTTTCAGGGCAATTTTCATGGCCAGAGAGAGCAAAACTGAACTCAACAGACTGCTGTAATGTAAAGAAGGCTTTTCTAGAGCACAAAGTTTCATAAAGCAACTTACGCTGAGGCCTCGTGGATTTCTGTGCCATCGTAGACACCACAACCAGATAGGACCTGCAGTAAGAAAACCAAGACAGTATTTCAGGTGATACAAAACTTCCTACAGGATCTTTCACAAGCCTTGTAAGATTTAAAAAACACCACCACCACCAACCCCCCCCGAAAAAACAACTTGGCAACAAGCTCTTTACTAAGCCCGCCAACATCATGCTATTAGCACTGGTGTCACCATTTGACATACTGCAGAACTGGCAGTTCCTATTTATAGCTATCCATCGCAGACAGGTCTCAGAAATAACTAATATTTATTGGCTTTTGCAGTTATTCCTCAGAGTTAATAAACTGACATGATATCCTTAGGTATGTTTTTATTGTGCGCACAATGGATCATTCCGAGTGTCATTCGTCTATTTATGAAATATCCATATCTGCGTGAAACACCTTCTCATCCAGATGTACATCAAACAGAAGTGGGATAGAAGTGCACTTTGAGGTGGCACTTAGGATAAACTATTTTACCTGCTGCTGTATTTTGTCTGAGGATCCACATCAGAGATCAATAGCTAAATCACTTTTAATCTAATTATGCTATATTAGCCATACCTTTCCTCACTGCTATGGTAATAATACTTTCAGTTTGTTTATATACACTGGAGAATAAAAAGCACAAAGCAATCAATCAGCTACCCTTGTGTGGGTGAAGAGAGTCTTTCACAAAGTAGAAGAAAAAACATTTTTAAAAAACCCAGGAAAAAAAGCAATTGTAAGAACAAAACAAAGCCAAAAAACCCCAAAGGATTATCTAGTTCCTGTAGGTATACATATGAACTCTTGTGGGTTTTGTGTTTGGTTGTTTGTTTTGAAAGAAAAGAAACCTGTGAAAGAGAGTCCATTTACCAACTTTACTCTCTTCCCTCCTGGTTTTATCTCAGTTTTTCAAACCTTGAAAGTTTTTAGTCACAGACACATGAACAGAAACTCGCAACTGAAACTGTCCTAGAAATGTTGGACTCAAAGGGGCTTTCAGATCACAACACCCAGTCCTCTGCTCTTGCAGGCATGAAAACCTACTATCACTTCACCAAATGAGTAAGATCCATAGACATTCTTCTGTCCGTGTTAATACTAACTACGGTTTTGCTGCTCTGATATTTAAGAGCCACCTCCTCCTTTCCAACTTTTTATTTAATCTTTCATTTAATTTAGACTGAATAAGCATACAAGCAACTATGCTGAAGTTATCTTCCGTAAGCAATATTTTTAAAATGTTTTTGAAACTCACTGAAACCAAAGCACTAAAACACTATCCTCTTCTGTGACTTCAGTACCTGCTTGGTGACAAATCTGTCTTCTACCATAGTCAGAAATTTACGTCACTAATGTCAACAATAACATTTGTTTTCCACTCTCTATTTAAAAAGCCATCCTTTGCTAAAACGACAGGATTCCTGGTAAGTTACCTTTTAGACATTTGGACCAGCATTCTGCCTACTCCAGAACCAACTCTTCTCCCCCAAACAGATCTCCTCGTGCAGGTAATGCCTTCTTATTTCTTTACATTTTATGCTGTCAAGACTATACAAAGCTGGAGCTTCAAAGCCTGTCCATTTTACTCCATTTGAGATGCTATCTACAGCCTAAATTTTCCTTTGGTAGCCTGTAGCTCCTCCATCTCTCCACTTTCTTTTATATTTTTAACATGCTCTATCTCCTTTGTGCAGAAGGGCATAATCCAGTTTAAATATTTTCCTGTTGTCCTGGTTTCAGCTGGGATAGAGTTAATTTTCTTCCCAGTAGCTGGTATAGTGTTGCATTTTGGATTTAGGAGGGGAATAATGTTGATAACACACTGATGTTTTAGCTGTTGCTGAGCAGTGCTTACACTCAGTCGAGCACTTTTCAGCTTCTCATACTGCCCTGCCAGCGAGGAGGCTGGGGGGCAAGGGGGGCACAAGAAGCTGGGAGGGGACACAGCCAGGACAGATGACCCAAACTGGCCAGAGGGGTATTCCATACTGTACGACGTCATGTGCAGCATATAAACTAGAGGGAAAGCTGGCCGGGGGCCGCTGCTGGGGAACTGGGGCCAGCAATTACGTTGTGCACCACTCGTTTTGGGTATTCTTTTTTCATTGTTATTTCCACTTCCTTTTCTGTCCTATCAAGCCGCCTCTATCTCAACCCAGGAATTTCACTATTCCCCCCCCCCCCACCGACGAGGGGAGGGAGGAGTGAGCGGCCGGCTGTGCGCTCTTCGGCTGCCGGCCGGCTTCAGCCCCCCCAGCCGTGGGCTGCCAGCACCTCCCCCGTCACACCGCACATTAGCTCAGGTCCAGCTCCTTCTAACAACTCCTCAGCTCCACAGAAGCCACTTTTTTAGCTGTTTCCCACTCCTGGTCTGGCTTCCTCCGAGTTACTCAATCCTAAACAGCTTTCCCTCCTCCATTTCACCGTCTCCCAGGGCCTTCCAGCCGCCAGTCCTCCCTCGGCCCGA